AAAGAAGAAGGGGGCAGCAGAGAATGAGGTGGTTAGATGGAGTCGCTCGGTGTGAGCTTAAGTGAACTCCGGGAGATGGTGGAGGACAGGAAGGCCTGGAGAAATGTTGTCCATGGGGTCGCAATGGTCCAATGCAACTTCGTAACTAACAACAATTGGTAAAGGGCCTTTTCTTACCAGACAATCTGATTGGGTGTCTTTGTTATTCCTTGGCTTGGGGAAGGGTTTGTTGTGGATAATATTTTTGCAGTAAGTAAACCTTTGTATCTTATCTGCAATATGTTACTTGTAGCAAAGTCTGTTTAGTAATAAATAAATATTTGTTCATGTCTTGCAGCTCTCAAGCATCTGACATTTACTGTATGAGGCTGTTCAGCTGAGCAAGTTTGGCCACCCCTGCATTAGCATGTCTAAGGTGTGCCCCCAAAGGAAGACCTTTCAGAACAGGCACATTAGCCTCTTATCAGGAATCCCACCTTAACTCTAAAATTGTTCTTAAAATATCAGGCCTTTAAGCTGCCAGATTATGGCAGAGCTTCTGCTCATTTTGTCTCGACACAATACTTATTCCTCTTCTTAAATTCAGTATTAACAGTATGAGGGGCATAGCTTTTGCCAAACTGGTAGGTCAGTGGGGTACTGTGGGGACTCCTTCCCCTGCAGCAGGAGTGACCAAGGACTCATAATTAAATGCAGTTTGAGATCAAAGGGGGTAGCCTCTGCAATCTTAACTACTGTTTCGCCAAGTTGCTAGAAAACATGTTAATGTCTAAGCCCTGGGGTTAAGTATTGATAAGTACAATGCTGCTGTTCCAGTGCCCAAACCATAAAGAACACCACACACACCAGTAATTAAGTACAATTCCTTTGAGCAAAGAATAGTAGATGCAATTCGGATGACTTCAGCATAATATTAATTAGCTTGCACCTACTCAGCACTTTGAAAATACAATGCATTTTATAATAAACATTATGTATCACATTTTTCTTTCCATCTGTGCTGCCCTTTCTGTCACAGTGCCATGAGTTTTTGTTTAGTGTTTGCTTGCTTTGTTTTGGCAGGAGATCTGTAAAGGAGATGCATAATGAAATTACACTCTTCATTGCTGGGTGTCCAAAGAATCAAGATAGGCTTCAGAGCCCAACAGAAGTTTGAAGCAAATGGAAAACCTCACCTCCTGAATTTCTTTATAAGTGCAAAGGGGCAAGAACTAATCAGCTGCAAGCCTGCTACTTCCTTGCAATGTGACACAGCATTCACACACACCCATGGGCAGATGGAAGTCACTCTGTGATGACTTCACCATGTCAGATGTTATGCTGATTGCACCAATTGATAACAGTGATTATTTATCATATTTGCCACACTGTGATCTTTGTCCAAGGAGCTCAAGGTACAACATGTGAACTTGTCCCACTTTATTCTATCCACAAACCCATCCAAGTCAGGTGAACAGGTAATGACTTGCCCAAAGCTACACACTTCAGAGCAAAACGGGTAATTGAATACAGGGATGGATGAAGGCAGCTGTAGCACTTTTAATCAGGGCTGTCCCCCAAGACATTGTACAGCCTCAGGAACAGAAAGTACAATGTGGTGCTTCCTACTTCTTACCAGAACAGCTGTTGGATTTTACTTTGATGCTGGTGAAAAGATGCCATCTCAGATGGCCGGTTGTGAATTATCAAAAAAAAAAAAAAATCATGTGCATGTCTGCACACACAGACGCACACGGGCTAAATGAGATGTGCATCTGCTAGTTTATATCGCATGAAAATTTAGGAAATCATGATTGAAATGTCAGTAGAAATTCAGTCCTGCCCAGCATTGTGTGGAAGACTGTGGCCAGGTACCCTGCATGCCTGTCCGTTCAGTTTGTACCAGGTGCCAAGTGTTGATGGGCAATGGGTGTTATGCTGCTTTATCCACAAGCCAACATTGTACAGGGCAGCCCTTCAAAGAGAGGACTGCCTGCAGTACAAAAGGATGCCTGGTCACTCCATCCACCTCTGTGCAGGCTGGTGGAAGGGGCATTGACCAAGTTGCATAGTGCGCACATCTCTGCTCCCCAAGACCTTGTTGCTGCTTTGTGTCCCCACCATCTGTTACCTGAGGCATCACTTTGTCAAAGGGTAGGGCCATCCCTGCCCTGGTGCATATTTGTAGCTACCCTATACTTTCTGGTATACAGTTGTAGTGCATCTTTCCTTTCGAAGCCTTTCAGCTTGGGGGTGGAGTAGGGTGGAGCGGAACTGAGCTGAGCTAGGAAATGTAAATACACAGCCCATGCCAGCAAAGATTTGGCATTGATTGGCTGTTGCCTGTGATATCATCAAGAAACCTCCTGCCAAGCTCTAGAGCAGTGAGGCATTTCTTCCTTTTTAAATTAATAATGAATAATAATGAATGAATAAGCATGTAGGCAGCATGTAAAAATAAAGAAAAGACAGGCGGTCTAGCAGACAAGAACGGCAAGACTGATGGTGGAGACAGAAGCTGATTTGCTGCTGTGTCTGTCCATCCTTTGAATAGCAAAGCCAGGAGTTAGCCACACTCACACCAAAGTTCAAGGACCTGCTGTGATTTCTGTCTTCAGTTTCATGTCATCTTTCTTGCTCTACACCCCACAGTATTAATTTCAATAATTCCTTCCCTTTCCCTCATGTTTCTTGCTGTGAGACTGTAAGCTGTTTTGGCAGAAATCTGTGTTTTAAACTTTGTACAGTGCCTAGTACAGAGTTAGGTGCTTGCTAAATAATAACAGCACCCGGCTGATTCTCAGTCCAGAGGGCTAAAGGAGCCTGGAGCAATGTTTGCACCATTTGGCACTTTAACCCCAATTTACAGCTGCTGTAGCATTATCAGTAACAGCATTAAATCCAAACCCAGACTTATTCTGTTCTAAGCATCCCAAAACTGTGTGGCAGCTTTCTCCATACTGGTGCCTTCCAGGTCTTTTGGACTACAATTTTCATCATCTCTGAGCATTGGCCAGGCTAGGCAAGGCTGATTCTGAGAGATCAAGAGTAATTCTTCTTGTTTTATACAGTGGTTCTTTTAGGATTCTTCTGCTCCACAGGATGTTATTGGCACCTCCATATTTCTGACTAGAGATTATGGCTAGCCTACACCAGTTGTAACTGCAGTCAAACAAAGCCCATAAGCCATGTATTGTGAACAACCAGGTATCTGACAATTGCCTTGTTCTTATGGTCCCAGGCAGATGGCAAATGTGAGATTTTTATTGTGTTTTCAGCAGTGGTGTGGTGGTTTGACTGCACAGGCCATGTGCAGGCTTATTGAATGGGACTGAATTTTTTCTTGTTATTAAGTGAGCACTCCATGGCACCATTTTTCCAATACATTCTTTTTGGATGTTCATTTATGGGGCCTAGTGTGTAGTAACAGTGACGAGGTCTTGCACTGATGAATTTCTTATACCTACTTGATTTTATTTCAGTCACTGAACAAGTTTCGTGTTTCCAAACTCATAGCGCTACCAAACAAAGGGCATTGTGCAGCTCCTCTAAAGTATTTTCTTGGTTTGGTTGAAAGAACGAAGATAGAAGAAACATGGGGAAAACACCAGAAAGACAATGCCAGCATACTCACTCAGCTCCACAGGGCCAGCTCAAGTAAGCTGACTACCTCAGACAGCAGGTTTTAATTATTCTATTTATGATACTTTAATTGCTGGGTGAGGGGAGCCAGCAATTAAAACCCCCATGTTTGTGGGATTTTCTGTCTCATGCCAAAATCACTGACTTTGGATATTGGGCAGCTTAATTTGTTGCCTGGGGTGGGGGCACCATTAGCTGTTCTGCCTTCTGCAGCAAAACATCTGGTACCATCCCTGTCTCCCTGATGCCAGTCCTGTGAATCAGACATTGCACAGTAAAGGCCTCATGTGGATTGTAGTGGAGTTATTCTCTTTTCCCCAGCAGTAGAGAACTTTTCTCGGGAATTGCAGGGGAGGCCTTGTTCACGATGATCCAAACCCTCCTGGATCTATTTGCAATCTAATTGCTCAATAAATGTCCTGTTATTTTAAGAACCTTGTGGTGCTATTTTCAACATCTCTATACATACTTACATACCTTCCAGTAGATCAAACAAGGCAAAGATGGCACCTTTAATTTTCTTAAAGGGATGTGTGACTTTGGTATGCATGCCTACCACATGGGTTCATTTAATGTGCAGCAGTCATGCAGCATGTGTCACTGCAAGTAGGATGGTCAAAGGGAAAAGGCAATCTTGAGAGGAACAGGATGGGGAAAAGACGTGTTTTTGCTGACCTTCCTATAGTATCAAGACTGCTCTTTTATTGGTAATGTCTATTTTACTTTTTATTTATAACTTGTTTTGTTGAATGGAAAAAAAACTTGAATGTGTACGTAATGGTTTTTACTGTATCCACTTTTTAATCTCGAGGGTTCCAACCACCTTAAAAGGGGCCCGAAAAGTAATGTTAAAGGCTAAACGCCAAGTTAAAATACTGTATTTGAAAACAACAACGATATAAAATAAACATTCCTGTGTGGCCCGGGCAAGGGAGGAGCCCCCCCCCCGGACTTCTGGCCCAAAGTTCTGGCTCGACGGCGCCCCGGTTCTGCAGCCTCTGGATAACGCCAGCTCTCCCCGCTTTTTTTGACCGCGGGAGGGGGGCCCATAGGGCGGGCAAAGCAACAGCCCCAGCCGCCGCTCACATAAGTCACCGCGGCGAGCGCGCCGCTCGAGCAGGCCCCGCCTCCGCGGTGCAGAGAGGGCGGGCCGGCCGGGCGCTTCAGCCTCCTGCACATAACAAGTCGGGCACGCCGGCGAAGGAAGCAGAGGCTGGCGCAGCTCCTGCTGCTGGCTCCGGAGGCTGCTTCCAGGGGGCGCTACTCCCTCTCCCACCGAGAAGAGGGCGGCTGCGAACTCAGCTGAGATTGCCTGGGCCGACCCAGGAGGACGGAGGTGGAGGTTTGGTGCCTTCCCTGCCCTGCTTGGCAAAGGCGTCGAGGTTGGGAAATCAGCCGGCGGAGGGAGGAAGGAGGGAAGAGTCCACCGTGGGGCGGACGAGGAGCTGCTTCAAAAGGCACCGCGCAAGCCCCTTGCGACTCGGATGCAGTCCCGGCGAGATGCTCCAGTGAGAGTCGCTTTCTCCAGGGAAGCGCGGCGCTGGGTTGCCGTCGCGCCCCCGCCGCGGCGCAGCCACTTTCCAGGGGATCCCTTGGGGCTCGCCCCTTTGCAGGTGTGGGACGCTTCGCCCGCCTGGCACTGGCGAGGGGCACGAGGGACGCCTCTGCCTCGTAACGCGGCGAGGGAAGCTTGTTCTGTTCCACTGCAAGCGTGCCTGTGTCTGCGGGTGCGTTTAGAATATTTTTAACTTTCCCCTCCGCCTGGCTTCAGGAGCAGGCTAATAATCTCAGCCACTGCTGCCAACTTTGGTTTTTCAGCCCAGTGTTTACAAGCCTTTCGTGATGAAAGATTTCTGGTTGTGTTTTTCAATGGGACGCTTTGCCTTGTGCTCCTCTTCTTCAGAAGTTGTCTGTTTAGCTGCCCTTTCCATGTGAAGAGGAGAATCTTGGTCAGTGCCAAGGGCCCGTCTGCCCAGAAAAACCACCCGCCCCATCAGAGCTGCAAAACGCACCGACAGGACATCAGAGTATCGCATTGCTGAGACAGGACTAGTCATGGGGGGAAACCTTGGCTGTCACCGGTCCATCCCCAGAGACCCTTCAGACCTCTGCCACAGTCGAAAGTTCAGTGCAGCGTGCAACTTTAGCAACATCCTCGTCAACCAGGAGAGACTGAACATCAACACCGCCACTGAGGAGGAGCTCATGACTTTGCCTGGCGTCAACAGGATGGTTGCCCAAAACATTGTGGAGTACCGGGAGTATATTGGGGGCTTCAAGAAAGTGGAGGACTTAGCCTTGGTCAGTGGCGTTGGAGCCGCTAAGCTGGAGCAGGTCAAGTTTGAGATCTGCGTGAGCAGCAAAGGCAGTTCAGCCCAGCACTCGCCCAGCTCTTTACGAAAGGACCAGAACCTCGACCACCTTTCTGCTGCCAAGATCAATATTAACACGGCCACACCTGCTCAGCTTATGAGCATCCGTGGCATAACAGAGAAGATTGCCAATGGCATTGTAGAGTACCGTAAGGAGCATGGGCCCTTCAAGAGCATTGAAGACCTAGTCAAGATGGATTGCATCAACTCCTCATTTTTGGACAAAATCCGACATCAGGTGTTCGCAGAGCGGTCGCGGCCCCCTTCAACAAACACCAATGGTGGCCTCAATTTCATGGTCAAACCTCACCCAAGCCCCACCTCACTCAGCCTTCAGAGTGAGGATTTGGATTTTCCGCCAGGAGGGCCAACTCAGATTATCTCCACCCGGGCCACTGTGGAGATGTTTGGTGGGATGCGGGATGGGAAGCCTGTCTTGAGGGTGGCCACCTGGAACCTGCAAAGCTGCTCTGTTGAAAAAGCCAACAATCCTGGTGTGCGAGAAGTCATATGCATGACCCTACTAGAAAACAGGTATTTATTGTGTCTTTATTGATACTGTTTGGGCAGTTCCAGCAAATATTTATCCTTTGTTTACTTTTTCCATTGTTGCTTACTTCATGTTCTGCATATCCATCCTGCTGGTAAATAAACATCCAGTGGTGAAGAATTATTGGCATGCAGATAATCCACTCTGTTGTCTTGCGATAACCTGGTTTAGGCAGATAACATAATTGAACCAAGTGAACTCAACTCCTTTCTATTTATACACCCATAGGTAAACCTGTTGAATCTGTAGACCATAGTAACATCCTTGCAGTCATACTACCATTGGACATCATCAATTCATATGCTGAAGCTCAGGGGTAGAGCATTTGTCTGCTGAAGACTCTGAGTTAAATCCCAGTATCTTTAGTTAAGGTTGGAAAATCTTTTGCCTAAAACCTTGGAGAGCTGCTGCCAATCAGTGCTGGCAATTCTGGGTTCAATAGTCTGGAATAGTGTAAGACAGCTTCCTTTACTCCCATATCCTATGTTGAGGAATGTCAGAGCCTAGTATTCGAACCTGTTTGCATGATTAGACTTCATTGAAATATGTGAGATCCTATTCAGAAATATACTTATCTAGACTGATAGGCCATCAATTAGAACAGCAGGGAAAATTAGGAGTCTACTAGGAGTATACTACTTCATATTAGTAAGGTATCATTTGACAAGTGCAGTCTTTCTGGGCAAAGATTCTGCACCTTTGCTTGTGGCTGGAAGAAGATAACTATCTAACTGAATTGTAGGGTATCCAGGGTAGGGTTACTATTTGCTTTTAAAATAATTATTTTTTCTGTTCCTCATTTTCTTTTTTTCATGACTTTGCCTAATGCATTACAGTCCACCTTTCCTAGATTGTTCTGCTTTACTTTGCTTTTTTTCCTCTTGCCTTGAGGCTTTAGAACAGCAGGACAAACTCAAATGTTAGGTTGGTATTATATGTTGCTCTGTTAACACCCCATCATCCAGATAAGTTCTGTTGATTTCAGTGGTCCAGTTAGTGCAGGGGATGGGCAGAAAGTAGATCGGATCTCTGGGTGACTTGCAATAGATCTGCAGGAGTTCCTGGCTCCCTTTTGGTTAATAATAGCAACATCTTAAATGCTTCCCTTGCTCTTAAATGTTGATGAAAAAGAACAATTGAGGGGAGCTTGGTTCAACAATTTCTGGACTGAACATGTACTCAGACACACTCTGGTCCGTAATTCTTAGTGTATGTCCACCCTACTGAGCCACTGTTTCACAATTAGTGGATCTCAGGGTTCTGGTTAAAACAAAAGTATATCTTGCAAGCCTGAAGTCTGCTCACTCCTGGTTTAGTGGGTTGCACAAGATTAGAGGTTGAGAATTATCACGAGCTACTTTCAATGTCATGAGCCATTAGATATCTGTGGTCTGTTTCTTCCCACTAAACTAGTCTACTCTCTTGGACAAACCATGAGAGTCATCTGTAATAAAAGTAGATCCTTGCATTTTAACCTAAATTTGCTCCAGACACATCAAAAAAGTTTGCTGTCGAAAAGGCAGCTCCATTTTAAAGAGTTTGGCGGGAGGGGGTGGTGATAGCTCGCTTGCAGCTTGCACTTTTCTATATTCCTGGCTCCTAGAGTTTCAGGAACGGTGGAAAAACTGAGCACACCCTTAAGACAGGGTAGTGCAATTCCCATCGCCCCTTTTTGCAAGCAAAGGTCGCCTGTTGGTTTCCCTTGACAACTTATCTTTTTAACACCTGTCAAGGGAAACCAAAGGGAAGCAAATGCTTATTGAGTTAATACGCTTTTGCTTTGAATTAATGTCTGGGGTTGATAACTGATATACCATGACAACAGGTGGCCCCCACAACATGACTGGCAACATTGACCAGCAACTTCTCCAATATGCCGCTTGGGCACTTTGAAGGGATCCAGTGGCTGTTGAAATGGGAACCAAGAAAGCTGGTTGTCAAGCTGGCTTTTCTGATTTCTAGTAGTGGGCGGAAGTAACCAAAAAGCCACAGGGAGATTAAAACAGTTTGCAACCATGGTAGGGAACAGAGGTGGTTCTGTCACAGAGTCTTCTGAGATACCTGTGGAAAGACCAAGGGAGAGGGAGGGCATGAACAGCCCATGGGGGCTCAGTCTTCTGTCAGGTGTGCCAGGGGTTATTTGGGGAACAACCAATACATCATGGTTTATCAGCAAGGAGGGTTGGTGTGATTTGCAAAACAGGCCCATGTGCTTCAGAGCAAGGTGTGTATGGTCTGAGTTTTGAATGGATGCGATTAGGTCATTGCTGCTATTTTTCTGTAATTAGCAGTTTTGTTAGTAGTAGCCCCTTCCCCAAACATAGGAAAGTCTTGTGATTGCTTAAAGACTAACATGTTCATCATCATTGGCATTATCTGTGTATGTGCATTGGTAGAGAGCAGAGATGTCAACTGTGTGGTCAGACAGGATTACATATAAATCCACCAATTTCAGATGAACACTTCATGCATCTGATGATATGGACAATGGCAATGAAAGAGAATAAATTCATCCACCATGATACAAGAATACATTTGCTTGTCTTTAAGGTGCCAAAAACCTCTTTGTTGTAAAATTAAGCTACTGGGTGGCTGTCTTAGTCTACATCATACCTTGCCCCTCGTCTTGCACTAACAAACTCAGCCTTGGCTGCGCTAACAAGCAGCGGCTCCCCAGGATTTCCCATCCCTACCTGGTGATGCCTGAAATTGAACCTGGAACCTTGTATATTAAAAACTTCTGCACTACCCCTGGGCAATGGCTCTTTCTCTAAAGACATAGTACTGCATGAAATAGTTGCTGTGTGCATTGAAAGCCCAACATTATTATTCTTGGAACTGAAGTAATGCTCCATATGGTACCTCAGTTCCTTTCTCTCTTTCTGTTCATCATGTAAAAAATACCTGCTCTCTCCTACTTCCTCACTTTCTTCAATAAAATTTGCCTTCTAAATGAGATGTGAAACAGTGAAAGTTTGTTGGCACTGTTGCCACAGTTTCTAACTGTAAAATGTATGCATAAAAGATTTACAATGGGATATTTCATCTGGGATCTGTAATTTACAATATTATTACTAAAATAATTTTATTTGACCTGCACTGCAATGTGGACATGAGTAATAGCTACTGTTCACATGTCTGCAGTGCAGAGACTAAACTCTGGTATACCATATTGCAGCACATTTTGTTTTTTCTTTTTGCCACAAAAAGCATGATGGAACACTAAGAAGCTTTTTGGATTGGATCAAGAGGATATAATGAGCAACTCTAGCATTTGTCAATACAAATCATGCTGTAGTTCTCTCCTCTTGCACAGTATTGTTTGGGATCCAAAATGTTCAAGAATCCTGTATTTGTACAAGAAGCATACCTAGCTTCAAGAACTTCCAGCATTTCTATTCTGTCTTATTTGCTAAAAAGCTATCAAGGTGGTACACAGCAGTTTAAAATGATAAAACTCTACATGATAAAAATAAGAGCATTAAAAACAGTAGAACATGCTAGCATCAAATCAATGACATAATTTAAAAGAGTAAGGATGCAGCCCTATGCAAATCTAGGGAGAAAAAAGTGTTGCAACTCCCAGCAGCTTGCAGCTCTCCTGGCTTGCTGAGAAATGCTCCAGGTTGTCTCAGTATGCATTGAATTGCATCTTAAAGAAACATGTCTTTGTACCCATAGTCAGTTCCAGATGTGCTGAATGGGCTGCAGTCTGGGGCCTCATAATCTAGGGGGGGCTTGACCATTTTTAAAAAAATGCCATTCATTTTATTTCATGTGTAACAATAAAAATGAAGGGTACACCTAGGTAAAAGTCTGTAGGCATCAATGTCCCAATATTGGTTGGCTGATCTAAGCATTCTATGCATAGAAAATGATAATCTGCAGCTTACTGACTTTAATGATATAATAAGTTTGTGTCCAGAAAGGTTCAAAAGAAACTCTTCTGACTTTGTATATAGTTTAACATAGATATGATTCCCCTATGAATGTTCTGTGTGAACATCTTCATTCTATACTTTTATAAACTTATTTAAAGGTTATACATTTATAAACAATCTTTTTATCAATGCTAAAATTTCAGCAGTGTTCTACTTTCATTGAGTAGATAAAGAAGAGAATGAGGTTTTGTTGTTCATAAGCAGATGCTATTAAGTTTAGGTCTTCTAGCCCAGGGCCTCCAGCTGCTTTAAGCTGGGACCGCCCATAGCTGAGCACTTCTTGTGGGGCTACAGTTTAGGGTTAGAAAAAAATGGGCAACATATCATTAAAAGAGGAGAAAGCCTTTTCATGCAGGGCCTACCCAGCTGTTCTCAGTGGGTAATGCTGCCCTCTCTTCTCTTGGAGATTTTAATACCCAGGCAGGTTTCTAATGAGATAGCTGGTCCCTTAAATAGCCAGGCTGTAAGCCATTCAGGGCTTTAAATGTTAAATCTGCTCCTTGGATTGAAGCCAGAAGGTAACTGGCAACTGGTGTAGGTATTTCCAGACAGGTTTAACATGGTCCCAACACCTTGTCCTGATTTGCAACCTAGTTGCCACATTTTGAACCAATTGTAGCCCTGTCTAGAGCGTGTTGCAATTTTTTACTGCAGGTTATCTTCACATCTTATATGCATCAATAGGTGAGACAGTTTTAGCAGTTTTAAGATTTTGGATGTGGAGACATGAGATGCCATATTTTTCTCTAGTTATTATATTTGTACCCTGCTTTTTCCAGTGTCCTTAAGACTCACAGCTATTAGAGTCCTTATGTTCTTTTACTGGATGTGCATCTTTGCCTTTTGCAGCTTCCAGGTGTGGCAATAAGTGAAGGGAGGAGTTTCACCTGTTTAATTTGTGTGTGCCAGAGTGCAATAAAAAGCAAAGAAATGGGGCAGTAAAAAGGCAATGCTTCTATTAAGATAAACTTCAGATGACAGTCACTTAGAGGGAACTTTCTGGAAGGGGGTTTCTGACACTGCTTGGCCCCATATCAGTGAGG